AAAAAAAAAAAAAAAGAGAGAGAGAGATTTCATGTGTTTATATTTAAGTTCAACATATATAATTTGTGGAAAAATAAGTTTTTTTGTTGAAAAATTTATTTAAATTGAACTTTTGGAGCAAATTGCATAACATTTTTGTTGATGAGTTTATCAAATGAACATTTTTTAAGAATAAATAAATAAAGTTAGAAATATGTAGTTGCACAAAAAAAGAAAAAAAAAATGACTAAAAAAAGTTTAATATGTTGTCCTTGTTGTTTAGTATGATTATCTGAAAGAGTGGGTTCCCAGGAACAATCGTTAGCAATGGTGACAAAGAAATCGGGACCCAGCGGTGTAAAAACTTGGTCGACCACGGTCGTGAATCTGAAGTGACGTAAATCAGAAGTCGGTCGCGATGAGGTAATGTAAATACTTGGTCGACCGCTGTTGCATTCTTCGACTCTTGTTTGTTCTTCTTCCTCAACTCGTAGTTATACAGAGCAGAATTGACTATTGCAAGAGTTACATCGTCCTTCCCATGGAGCAAGGTAGTCTTCAAGTGTTCAAAGTCGTCTGGAAGTGATGATAACAACATGAGAGCCGAATCTTCATTGCTGAATGTGACGTCCAAATTCAACAAATCTGCAACTAACGGATTGAATGCAGTGACGCGGTCATTCATCGATGTGCCATGCTGGTACTCGAATCGGAACAATTGCTTCTTCATAAGGAGCTTATTCTGGCCACTTTTCTTAAAAAATTTATCCTCCAAAGTCTTCCACAGAGTGTGAGCAGAGTTCTCATTCTTGAACGCGTACTTCTGCTCCCTCGATAAACATGAACGAATAGTTCCACATGCTAAGCGGTTGATATTCTTCCAGTCCTTCTCTTCAACGTCGGTTGGCTTCTCTTCTTCAATTGCAATGTCGACGCCTTGCTGAAATAGACAATCCAACACCTCGTCTTGCCACATGCCAAAATGCCCGGTTCCATCGAAGATCTCCACCGGGATTCTGACGTTCCGCATCACCGTCCTTGCCGGAATGAATGCAGAGGATAATGCGCCCTTGACCTCCTTGGACATCTCGAACTCGAATACAGTGCTCGCCTCTCCGAATAAGCCTAGGCCGGACCTTGGGCTCTGAACCACTTGTTGGGTTAGGGCACCAAGCGTAGCGGACAAAACTACCCCTCCAACAAATATGGCAAGCACTACTCCAAACGAAAATAAGCCAACGCAAATAAATAAAAGACGAGAAATAAAAGGGACACAAAAATTGATAACGGAGTTCGTCCAATATTGACTACGTCTCCGGGCACAGCCAACCACAACGCCAAATTTACTAAACTCACCAACAAAATACAACTAGGGTTAAATAACCCATTAGGATTTCCTTAAATAAGGATTTCCTTCTAAGAGAGGAGAGAATAGAATAAGGTGCAATTGTAACCTAAAGGCAATAGACCTATTTATACCAATAAGATCTTACACATCTTTGGTATACATCCGATGAAGGACAAATAATTATTCAAAAACTAACAGTGAAGTCGGGCCTCAGCTAGAATTTGTGGGTCCAAGCTTAGTAATGGCAAGGATATCCGAGTTGCAGCAATATTGATTCCCGACTACTGAAGAAATGAAGTCGGGGCAGAGGCTCGATATTAATTCTCGGTGTCAGCGATTCACATCGGAATTTTTGGGCCCGAGTACACTGTTCGGGTTACTTCGAGGCCCGACGGTGGATAAAATCTAACACGATTGGTTTCAGATGGTCTCAGATTACACGTTTTGAAGTAGACCGATATTGGACAGTACCCTTCAGCGTATGTTTCTGGTTTTCTTCTTTCCGTTATTCATCCTCTGCAACTTTCATATTCTTGCAGAATTCTTTTTTTCTTTTTGTTTACAAGAAAGTGATTCTTTCTTTGCGTTTTCACTTTCCAGATAGAATACATGAGCAGATTTTGGATAAACTGAACCCAAGAAACAGAAAAATTAAAGTAGCAGTATGAATAAAGTTGCCATACGTGAGGAAGATAATTTCTCGGCAGAGATCTGGTTGTTTTTTGGAGAAGGTTAACCCCGAGCAACTTACGAGGCCCTTTCTCTAGCTCCAAACTGTTGATGCACGAAATTTGATCAACATAGAGTATTCGAAGAATTGTTTGTATCGTTGAATTGCAGTGAATTTCTGTGTATATGAAATTCTGAGAATTTTTCTGTATTTTTCCCTTGTCTGTTGAATGAAGAAAAAGGATCAAAGATGCAGAAGAGAGGCACCGCCTATCTTTTGCAGATAAGGAGAAAAATTAAAATGAATCACCCCCTCAGACTTATCTCGATGATGTCCATCATCAGGGTATATATACATGTTTTTGGTCGGCCCGATAATATCATAAGCGGTGATATTTTTGGGCCCTATAAATATAATAAAAATAAAACAATTAATTTAATACATGTCCACGTGTAATATTTTAATAATCGAGACCAAAATTTGGTATCAACAATATAGATTCAAAATAAAATACAATGGTCATAGCTTAATATGTTTTCCTTGTTGTTTAGTACATGAATCCCATTTATCTTTATTTCATAAAATTAAACTTATTTAAGAGAAAAAAAGTTTTTATTTTTAAAGAACATTTTATTTTAGTTTGCCAACTGAATTGACTGAACTGAATTACAATTTAGTTTTTTTTTTGTACAATTTTCAGGTCATTTGTAAATATAACAACTTGAGTTGCATCCCTAGTGAACATATTTTGTGTCAATTTGGCCGGACTATGTCGATTATTAAAATTTAATATAAATTTTAATATTAAAAGTACTTTATTATAATAGATACAATGTTTTACAAAAATTCAAATCAATTTTATGATAACATGGTCAATAATATAAAAATATAGATGATTTTATGAATAATTATGTGACTAGGAATGTATTATAAACATCAATAATATATGATAAATCTTGATTTATATTATACACATTAATATATACACATAATTTTATTTTCAAAAATGATATTTATTAAGAATAATTAAATAAAAATGACCCGGTTAAACTCTTCAGAGCCCGCTGAATCAATGTCTATAATCGGTCGGATTTTGACCGGGTTGCATTTTAACTTCGGACCAATTCGGACCGGGTCTGGAATTGACCTGTCGGGCCGGTCCTAGTATGATTGTATAAGGAACCGCTAGAAGTAGAAGATAAGAAGGAATAGGATTTAGGAATCTGTCGTAAGGAAGGATTGGAAATTTTCTTCGATAATTACTGACTTCCCAAAGTCGCCAATACCCTAAACGCCAAAGGTGCTTTCTTGCTGAAGTTTTTACACACAGCAATTGAAGGTATGTATGTATATAATATTTTATGAGATTATTGTTTTTAATTCCTTCAACTTCGTCTTTGTTACTCAATAAATTTGTAGTCCTGTTTTATTTCTTAAATCTGTAAGCAGATTTGCCTTTTATGTTGGGCTTATTTATGCTTTAATTTTTTATTATCGGTTTCTTGATAATTGATATGCGTTAATTGTACCTTGTTCTTAAATCGCGGTAATATTTTTTATTTTGTTTTGTAATTTGATTGAGAATGATATTTGTGCAGATGGGTAGTGAAGCTGGATACGAATATCGTTGGCAGTTTTCGATGGTGGGCTTGGACGAGATTAATTCCCAGCACAAATCGGCCGTAACAAAAGATGGCTCCAAAGCTTTTCTCTTCGAGTTTAGGACGAACTTCATCATGAGCCCTAATCCTAATCCAGAACAAAAGATAATCTTGGACTCAGAGAGCTTCGATGTAATGGTGCATGAGTTGGGAGATGCAGAGAAAGAGGCAACTGGTCTTTATTTCTTGACATTTAAGAGGCTGAAGGATTACTGGATGACTCGGGACGAAATCAAGCTTATGCTCGGCCAGGCCCTCGATTTCACCCGAGAGGCAGCGGCTGACACTCAACACGCAGCCCTCAATAAAATACCAGTCGTGGTGGGCCTTGAGGTCTGCACGGTCCAACAAGACGGCGAGTCCATTGAGGCTGCTATGGGCCGGGCGATCAGGGCCCAATACTTGGTGCCCTTGTACCTGTGGACCAAGGAGACACCAAAGCAGTACAAGCTGAGATATGGGGTGCTCTGGTTATACTTTTTGTGGAAACTGGGCAAGATAAGAGTTGAAAATGTTGACGAGGGGTTAGCTATTATGCAGGCTTGTCATATTTGCTCTAGGGCTACGACCATAGGTGCTCAAATAACTGTGCTCCCTATTTGTGGCCATGCTTTTCATACCCGTTGCCTTTGGGTGTGGTTGGAGGATAACGAAAAGTGCCCGTTGTGCGGTGACCCTGCGTATGATGTCAGTAGGTTTTAAGCTTTGATTATCGTTTTTTCGTTTCTTTTTTTGGTTTTATGGACTCTTGGTGTCTTTTGAGAAGCCGTGCCAGAGTTTATGGTTATTGGGGATCATAAATGTCTTGGATGATGCTAAAGATTTTAAAGTTGTTCAGTTCGTGATGCTTTTTCCCTTGCCTATTGTTCCTAATGTTCAGTTTTGTTTTCAAAAGGTAATCAAACCTTTGTATCATTGTCGTCTATTCATAATCACGGATTCACAGATTCAGCCTAAGGTAGGTCGATACGTCATACTTTTAAACAAAATTGCATACTTATTATACTTTTTTTACGGTGTATTTTAAAGTATGACAATTTTGTGTAAAAGTACGTAAAATTGTTAAAAATGTGTAAATAATGGTTATGTGTGCGTAACAACCACCTTAACGATTCATGATATATACAACAAATCCAGTAACATTATTAAGAATGGTTTGACTGAAGTTTATCGATAGCCTATCAGGTTATATATTTAAAAACTTAAATTTTGGAAATTATTTTTGGAAAAATCTAATAGAGTATTTTGACAATCAATCAGAAACTCTACATCATATGAAATTGACCAACAAAGTTCTTGGAGGTAATTCTGCAAAAATTGTTAAAAAAACTATTCTATTTCTCCCTAAACATTCGTTATGAGCTCATCGTCAGAGTGAATCTAGAAATTTTATAAGCTTTCTATTCTATATCAAATATTCGTTCGAATTCATGATTTAATTTTAGTTTCTTCCATAAGGAAATACCAATTGTATAAAAGTATTGTAGTCTGTTAAATAGTCAGACTTTGATGATATTTTACGCGCACAGTACCCTATATTATTTTCAAGCAGAGTGTAAATAGAAGTATGTAATTTTTAAGAAACTAAAATAAATTTGTATTAAAATGAAAAATGACACAAAATTCTACCATGAATGTTTAATAAAATTAGCTAATAAGCTGGATGAAATACAAATTTCAACAAGTTTATTTGAAAAGCTACCCAAATGAAACTTATTTGAATACAAGAAGCTTATAACTTATTTGTTTATCAAACATAGCGTTATGCAGTCAGACTCAATGGCACCATATATTTGACGAAATTTTATCTTTACCATACGATTTAAAATTAGTTGCAATTGTAGGAAGGGCCAACTTTTAATCCCGATGATATCCTCAACGACATGCAAAATTGTTTCGAGATAAACTTGCCATATCACGAAGCGTGGCGCTCGAAGCACAAGGTTGTGGATGAGGTTCGTGGCAATATAGATGAGTCATAAGAATACGTACATCAAGATCTCGAGAAGGTACGTGTATCGAACCCAGGAAGCATTTGGAAGTTGTGCACGATGTCATAACAAAATTTTATGTATGTGTTCATGTCTCTGAATGCATAAAAAAGGGTAAAATAATTGTCCACCAATTATTGTTGTCGATTTTGGACATTTCTAACGTTACACCATTTGTGAATAATTGTGGATGACTCCATAAGTCGAGCCATCCAGTGGCTCCATAGAATTCCCGTATAATCCCCCACCCTTTGGGTTGGTTCTTTAAAAAGAATATATATATAGGTTGTAAATAATTTTTTTCTCATTTTTGTTAGTTGAGTGAAAATTTATTTTATTAAAATTATTTACTAAAAAATGTACAAAAATATTATTCATTCAATTTTAAAATTTTCACAATCGTATAGGTACAGTTAAAAATAATAATAATAATAATTTACTATTATATATTTTCAACAAAAGTTACACAATATTCAAAATAAAGTAAAAGCCCCTCCCACATGAAAAGCACATCCCCAGGACACAAAAACAATTAAATTTGTTTCTGTACAAATTACCAGAAACAACTCATTAATGGAAAATTAAGTACTAAATATTGATTTAACTCTTGGTTTTTTTTTTCTTTTTTTTTTCTCGATCACTTCCTTTTGGTTCGAGTCTTTTTTGTGTTTCACTTGGGTTTCATTTTTAGCCTACCCGGCTTGCTTGGGACTAAAGGCTATGTTGTTGTTATATTGATTTAAATCTAATAAGTTCCCAATCATTGTTTGCACATAAACTATGACTATGAGTAATGTTCACCCATCCACTCTTTAGAAGTGAATCAACCTTTCAAGCGCAATCCCTGCCACAATTCATCACAACCATAAATTGGAGCCAAAATACACAATTCTAACTGTCTGTGCATTGAAAATGTGACCAAGTTTGAGGAATTTGGTTTAATCTTTCACAGTCGAAAATGATCTCTCAAATGATAATGTCATCTAGTGTGTTAAGCATAAGCTTCAAAAGTTTAGCACCAATTCTTGGAAAAGATTGCACGAGGTAGCCCAGAGATCCTTAGCAAGCCTGGAGTTGTAAGAAAGCCTAGAAGATTGCAGACATCTACCGTTTCCTCCGAAAAAGTAAACACCAGATACTTCCTGTAAGAAAATAATGGTTTGAAATAAGCAAGCAAGATTCTAGTAAATAAATGCGTAATCCATGCAAGGCTTGGCTAGGTAAGTTGAGCAAATTGGTTTGTAATTTGCAGATTTGTAGTTCATTTTACTCACTAACGTGACCGTGTAACTAAAGGCATATTACTAAAGAATATATAACACCTTCGCGCTATGGTCCAACTATTCAAAAGGTGGGAAATAAAACATAATTCGCACATCATATCCGTTTTCCTGTTTTACAAATTGCACTCTTAATGGAGGAATAGTTATTGCATTAAGGTACTTCTGAAAAATTAACAGCCTTATAAGTTTCCAGGTCAAACCTGAAGGGTAATTCCATAAAAGATGAGGAATAGTGGAATCCAAATGATGGTNGCACTGAAAATTCCGAATGGCCAAAACAAGGAAAAAAAAAATGAAAATAAGATGAGATTTTAAAAGCCCCCAAGAGGACCGAGTAAGGAAAATACAAGAATAAGTAATGAATAAACCGGACAAAAAAGCAGTCAAAATAAACGCTTACACAACAGAGATATGCTGGGATTTCTCCATTAGTCCAACTTGCGTGTGAAGCTCATACGAAAAGAGTAGCATACATACTGTTGATAGACGAGGTCACATGTTATCAATGCAACAGACAAAAAGTTTACTTTGTAATGTCACAAGTTATCAATGCAACAACAAAAAAAAAAAAAAGAGTTAACTTTGTGAATTTCAGAGACCATATGCTTACATTTAGAATACTCGTAAATTTGTGCGTAGGGATAGGATTTTGATTTCACGAAACTCTTCCCAGATATAGTTTCTCTGTTAGCTTGCATGCAACAAACTGAAGCAGGAGCACGAAGAACAAATAATTACATCATTTTTGCAGAAATTATGGTAAAATTACTTACATTATAAAAAGGGAAGTTAGATGTTACCATTTCTGTGTGTGAAAGATGTGAGGTTGACCACACGAGACGGAACAGGGCTATTCTGAAGAAGGGGAAGTAAGATTTTAGTAAGACAAAATGCACCCATATAATTAGTAGCCAGCATCCTGTAAAATCGAAAAGGAAAAACTAGTTAGCCTTTGGGTTCAACTCTCTTGCATAGCTCGTAGAATATAAATTTGCATTGTATGCATATTAATTTGTTTAACATCGATCTTTCTGTATACCGATATATATCTTTGAGAAAAATCTGTTGAATAAAGCATCCAACATATCAGGTCAGCAAAAGAAGAAATAACTTGCATCTACAATAATTAATTGGTTTACATTGCAAAACTTTCAAACACAATTAAAGTCGACCAAAACAGAAAACAATAATAGCAAAAGAAAGGAAAATTGATAAACAATAGCATCAAATTATTTGATGGAACCAAATATACTTATCCAACTTGGATGACTACTCACATAGTTCTACAGCCCAAACTACTATAAGCTATTCTGCTAGTAAACATTACCGTAAAGAGTACTTGTAAATTAATGATTCTAACTATATATCATAGGAATAGTAACTCATCGTATCCTTCAGAAGTGAGCCTACGTGATGTTGCTAGAATCCCAGCATTATTTATCAGGAGTTGAACAGAAGAATGCATTTTCGAATCCAATAGCCATTGCTCAAGTGAGTGTTTGAACTGGATGATGGATTTGAAGGACGAGAGATCGACCTCAAAAGCTTTCAGACAAGAATCTTGGTTTCCACTCTTAACAGCAGATATAGCCTGAATCAAACATGGGCAAAAGTAAACATAATCATATAGTAATCAGTTCATGATTAACGGAAAAGGACAGCTTACACACCCTCGATAAACGTTCTGACGATCTTCCAACTGCAGGTATGAGAATAAATTTTATTCAACTCTGAGCAAACCATCAAAAGAAATTTTCAAACTGGAAATACAAAGCATTTGATAGATCAAACTTGAGGATTTTGAGATACACTTCTTGTGAATGGATCAGATTACTTCCAATAATTGTCCCCTAATACAAACTAAGCAAACTTAAAACAGACACAAAAAATGGAAAGGTCATTACATACTGAAACCAAAACATTATGTAATTTGAACATTCGTCGAGTTATTTAAGCATGTGCAGACCTAAGATTCATTTCATAAATTAAATAAACACAGAACAATCCCATTGATTAAGTGAGAGTTATAAGCAATACCAAGAACAACATAAAACCCCTCCTTGGAAAGAGCATATGCAGCAGCTGCACCCAAGCCAGATGTCGCCTGCAATCACGACCACACACAAATCAAAACAGGTACATTAACAATCAGAAACATGTAACTTATACCAATATTCGTAATCTTCACCAATAATAAGGCCAAAAACAATATATGTATATGCGTGCGTGTGTGTATTACCCCCGTAATTATGCAGACCGGCTTCCCTGCAGGCGAATTAAAGTTTGCTGAACCTTTCGGTGAGTATCGAGGATAAAGCTTCAATTTCGAAGTCATAAACCGTTGGGTGAACAAATCCAAATAAGAAAATATGAGAGAAAGAGTCCAGAGCAATGCCATTCTCCAGAACTGGACACTGCACATAAAATAGAAAGACTCCACCATGATTTTCACCAAGTTCATTCTTTTATTCCACAATGAAGGCTCCTAAGGAAAATCTAACTT